TGACGTGTTACTAGCGTCACGTGACCCCCGCTGTCGTAACAATACTTTCTGTTCAGCTCCTTACACTAAAACAAAACATGAATTTTTATCTACGCATCCATTCAAAGCTTTGAATATTTTAATTTAATCTCTTGTGTTTTATAGTGAAATATAAGTGCTCGAAGTTTAAGATCTAATATTAGGATTTACTAATTTACGTATTGAGATTTTACCAACCTCGATATGGAGTTTGCAAAATAGAGAACAAAGATAATAGCATTATATTTTTTTTTGCTCATTTTCTATCAGTAATTTCCATTATGTGAACGTATTGCCAATTTTGATTGTTGATGGAAACTATTATACAATATTTTCTCATTAGGGATTTTTAAGAATCTACAAGCTATTTTTCCCACAAGGTGACCCGTCCAAGTTTACGTCACTGGTGTTCAGAGTGTTTGACGAAAACAAGGTACGTCATAATGGATTGAGTAATTGTTTAACGGGGGTATTGAAATGAACTAAAACTTGGTAAATAAATATTGTAATGGATAGGCGCTAGTCAGACAGCTAGAAGTATAAAAAAGATATACAGCCATATATGTCTTTGATAAACAGATAAACGAATTAACGATAAACAGATTAGTAAATAATGTTTGGAGAATAATTAAATTAAATCAAACCTTAAAGTGTTCTCATCAAAGCATGGACATTGTACTGTTTATTATTAACCACTGATAGTAAAAGCATGTAAGTTTATCCCAGATGAGTCAAAACTCTCCAAAGCTGGGTTTAATTACTTTTTCTTTTATCATATCTCATCTTGGTGATGTTTGTTATGTTTTAAGTGCAAAGCTGTATATTGAACTACCTGCCGAATATTTGTTTAGAAGACAGAGCTTGTTATTTTCCTCGAAACTAATCTTTGATAACATTTATGAAAGCTTGACTAATTGATTTTTTGCTTATAAATAAGAGCTAAAACATCAGTTTCACGTCAATCCTGTTGACCACCAATACTGATGTGACAGAAATGAAAAACATTCAACGCTTAAAATGGCTTACTAGCCATCGGATATTACTAGAATATTTACTACAGAGGTTGAATACGTTATATTAAAACGATTTTGGAGTCTCACTACGTCGTTACAGTCTATGTCGCCATGTCCAGTAATGTTCTATTTGACGACCACGTATCTTGAAAACACATCTTTTGTGTAGTTTACATTACAAATGACTCCGTCATAATGCTGTCATATTCCAAGTATACCACACCTTCCCGCAGGCTTTCTATAACTCATCCGGTGTACTAGAATGACGTTTCCCAAAGCCTATTTCAACAGACAGTTCAATTGCACAGAAATCCAAAAGATGCTACATTAAGCGGTGTGACCAGTATGTCTTTTTATAGAATAGAATGTATACCCGTTTCTTTTTTCAGCTGCTTGAGGTATGACTAGAAGCCTTATCTTGATGAAGCCAAACCATATTCGCCTAATTTCACTACAACGTCGGTATTGCTCTTCGGTAAAAGGGGTCCAGAGCATTAGTTTGATGGTAAGCAGAGTTCGCCCTCACTTTTGTACTCACTACCCTGGTCCCTGGCGCAATATCCAACTATGATCATAAATCACTTCGCAAAAGATTTGCGATATCTTGTGTACCACTTTTGGAAATAATTTTGACCTTTGACCAGTAAAAAATGACAAGAATCTTACAGTTATCATGGTACATATACTCTTTGTAAAGTGTGAACACGCATTACGGTTCTCCACACAGCTAGTTGTTCATACAGTTTTTACAGTTGACCTTTATTTACTAGATATGTCATGAAAGCAGCTTGTGTACACATGGCTTGTATTGCTTTTCCAGAGGGAGATCCTTCATTATTATGTTGTACTGTTGCTTGGGGCACGTGGATGGCTTTTGCCATTGACCCTTGTGTTTGTGAGTTCTCACACGTTACAAGTTTTTGTTTACTGCATTTATGGTACGACTTGTTGGATATCTCTTTTCAATAGGCTTAGAAAGAAATGAGACAAAACTTAGATCTGAAATGATATTTTTTTACACACCTCTGATTTCATGCCGCAATGGATAAGTCAAGAAGAATATGAAAAAAAAATCATCTGCAGTTAACTTGTTTTAATACCAAATTTTTGGCCTATTGGTTTTACAATATTTCGTCGGCTTTCGGAGTTTAAACCGGAATTTTTCAAGTATTATACTGTATATATATGAATAAAGTTTTACATTAAATATAATATATTTCTTCTCATCGTCCAGCCAAACTGATGAGTTTTAGTAACGAATGATAATCCTATTGGGCAGTGTCTTGTGAGAGACAAAGTATATATTTGAAATGCTATTTTGAACACTCCTCTGACTCAGAGCGACAATGGATAAATTAAGAGGAACATGGAAACAAAATCAACAGTTAGCTTATTTTATAATAATTATACACTTCTTTTACCACGAGAGATCCGTAAAGAACAATAAAAATATACAAATAATTAACATGCCTGACGCCCATACTAGTCACAACTTTTGATGTACTTAAGCATTAATTATCTTACACAATAGCAAAGATAATAAGGTCAACGTTATGAATAGTAACATTGAATAAAGTTTGAAATTTTTTATTAGAAACAAAATTTGTTTTGATAAATAAAGATTCGATTTAGATTAAATATTTTGGACACAAACGAAGGATTACCATTCACTAAAACTTTCACTGGTTTCTCAGCTAAAGTTACCGGTGGGACAACGGTAAGTTTAGGGGTTTACAACGCCTAAATCCAATACTCGATTCCCCGCGGTGGATATAGCAGGTAGCCCAGTGTGGCTTTGTATTAAAAACAAACAAATTTACTAGCTAAGTTTAAAACATGTCCACAACTAACAAGAAACTAGCCATCTATCATATACTAAAACCCGCAGTGCTTTATCAGGTAATATTTTGAATATGCTCGCAGCTGACAAGAAGGCAAACTACCTTTTACCGGCTGTATGTTATCATCTAAGTTGTAAACATGCCTATAGCTTACAGGAAACCAGAAAATCATCGCTCACTAAACCCTGCAATGCTGTAGCAATTTGAGTGTTTGAATCATGTCTAGAGCTTAGTTTAAAAATATAATATGTAAAATGTATATGCCCATAGAAGTGTTTACTATTCATTTCTTGCAAACAGATTAAAGGTCAGCTGAGAATGCAACAAGGGCAGCAGAAGTTTGCTTAAATGTAGCAAAGGTAACAGAGAGCTTTGACAATGTAGCAAGAGCAACAGAGGTGTTCTGATAATGTAACAAGGGTAATAGAGGTTTGATGAAAAAGTGGCAAGGTTAATAGAGGTTACAACCGGCTGTTGCACGTTCAAGTTTGTCATTATTAGAATGTTTCAAATAAGTCGTATAAAAACAAAACATGCTGGAGAGATTTATAAATGTATAAAATGAAATTTTTAATTTATTTATATGTGTATATATATATATATATATATATATATATATATAGATAGTTCGTGTCTTGTCTATT